TGTCTTCCTCATCTAGAGTGTTTGCAGAGCACCGTGCTAACTGACATGGTGTAGAGAAGGAAGACTCCTCTCAGGAGTCCAGTCTCCACAAAGACAACCACCACCACACACATTTACGTAATACTAAAAGGTAAGCAAATAGCAGGCTTTTAATTGTCCCTTCTGGAAGATTTCTCCTTTAAGGATCCATGGTTGGGGGGAGGGCAAGGATAAATAGCAAGATGGCTCATCAGAAGCCTGATGACTCATGTCTGATAACCCATAACCACAGGACGCAAGGAGATAGCTGATAAAGCTGTCCTCTGACCTCCACGCACGGGCCACTGTACTTACACACAAACACACACACTAAATAAATGTTGGGGTGCAGCGCAGTTGATAGAGTGCTCCCCTCACACATACGTGGCCCTGGGTTTGTCATTAACAAAAACTAAGATGGAGACAGAAGACACGAAGTTTAAGACCTGCTCCACAGGAAGTTAAGAGGCTTGCGCTACACAAGCAAAACCTTCTTCTCTAAAGAAGCAAACCAGCTGGGCGGAGGTGGCGCCCGCCGTTAATCCCAGCACTCAGGCAGAGGCAGGCGGATCTCCTCCGGAGTCCGAGGCCAGCCTGGGCTACAGAGCGAGTTCCAGGATAGCCAGCCTGGGATATACATACAGAGGAACCCTGTCTCAAAATACCAAGGAAGGAAGGAAGAAAGGGAGAAGGGAGGCAGGCAGGCGGGCAGGAACTGTCTCCGGGAGGTGGTGGTGCACGCCTTTAATCCCAGCACTTGAAGCCAGCCTGGTTTACATGAGTTCTAGGACAGCCAGGGTTATGTAGAAAAGACTGTCTCAAAAGCAAAAGTAAAAATAAAGATAAGAAAGAACTGAAGGAGAACAATGTCTGTGCCTAGTGGGGAGGAGTCGAGAAAGGGAAGAGGGGAAGGAAGTGGGGAGGGAGGGAGAAGGGAGAGGAGGGGAAGGAAGGGAAGTGGGGAGGGAGGGAGGAAGAGGGGGAGGAAGTGGATGGCCCCAGGTGTTACCTCAGTTACTTTCCTTTCCACTTCCGTCCCGTCCACGTAGTAAACGTCTGTGATGACACGGGTAACGAGTGTCCGGACTTCACGGATCGTTCTCATGTGACGATGCAGGACGTGGCCGTGTGGAGGCTGGGGCATTTCAAATTCTTCCTCTCCCTACAGCAAAAGGCACAGACCACGTAAGGACAGAACCCACAGCCACGGCTCTCCCGGTTACCTGTCAGAGGAACTGTTCAGGACTCATGAGCCGGGCGTGATAAATAGTCCACTTATTTACAGGTAAGACTGAGGAGGAGCCTGGAGAAGTCTGTCTGCCCGACTTGACCTGTAATCAGGACACTCAATCTAACACATTAGTTTTAGATTGTAATCATTCGAATTTTTTCTTTTGTTTGTTTCTTTGTATAGCTCAGACAGATCTTCAACTCACTATGTACTCCAAGCTGCTCTCTCCAACTCGTGATCCTCCTGCCTCAGCCTCTGATAAGTGTGTACCACCACACCCAGCTAATCCTTCTAGTTCTCATGATAACACTGTGCCACCTAAAAAGCAGGTGCTTTGATCCTTAGAGAAGACCCGAATCCACACCTATTAACCAATCAGTGAAAAACAGTTCATTAACAACAACAACAAAAAGGCATTGCTTTCTCCAGAGGTTAAATAGGAAAATCTTTTTTAAAATTTAACTTTATAATTTAATTTAATTTTACATACCAGCCACGGATTCCCTTGTCCTCTCCCCTCCCACGCCCCCCCCCTTTCCCCCAGCCCACCCCCCATTCCCATCTCCTCCAGGGCAAAGACTCCCCTGGGGATTGAGTTCAACCTGGTAGATTCAGTTCCGACAGGTCCAGTCCCCTCCTCCCAGGCTGAGCAAAGTGTCCCTGCATAGGCCTCAGGTTCCAAACAGCCAGCTCATGCACTAAGGACAGGTCCCAGTCCCACTGCCTAGTTGCCTCCCAAACAGATCAAGCCAATCAACTGTCTCACTTATCCAGAGGGCCTGATCCAGTTGGGGACTCCTCAGCTATTGGTTCATAGTTCATGTGTTTCCATTCATTTGGCTATTTGTTCCTGTGCTTTTTCCAAACTTGGTCTCAACAATTCTCCCTCATACAATCCCTCCTCTTTCTCGCCAATTGGACTCCTGGAGCTCCACCTGGGGCCTGGCCGTGGATCTCTGCATCTGATTCCCTCAGTCATTGGATGCGATTTCTAGCTCGACAATTAGGGTGTTTGGCCAACTTATCATCAGAGTAGGTCAGTTCGGGCTTTCTCTCACCCACTGCCCGTAGTCTATTGTGGATGTATCTTTGTGGATTTCTGTGGACCTCTCTAGCACTTTGCTTCTTCCTTAAATAGGAAAATCTTAATCTGTTCCAAGAATAGATTTGGGGATTTTGTTACTTTGTTTAGACACAGGGTTTCCCTATGTAGACAGGCTGGCCTCAAATCAGAGATCCACTTGCCTCTGCCTACTCACCAATGTACTGCTCAGTGTTATGTCAGTTTAATACGAGCTAGAGTCATCTGGCAGGAAGGAGCCTCAATGGAGGAAATGCCTCCATAAATTAGATCTGGCTGTAGGGCATTTTCTTACTTAGTGATTGATGGGGGAGGGCCCAGCCCATTGTGGGTGGTGCCATCCCTGGGCTGCTGGTCCTAGTTCTATAAGAAAGCAGGCTGAGCAAGCCATGAGGAGCAAGCCAGTAAGCAATGCTCCTCCATGGCCTCTGCATGGGGTCCTGCCTCTAGGGTCCTGCCCAGTTTGAGCTCCTGTCTTGGCTGCCCTAAATGGACCATGACTCAGGTATGTAGGTCAAATAAACCCTTTGTCCCCAAGTTGCTTTTGGTCATGGTGTTTAGTCACAGCAACAGGAATCCCATTTAAGTCACAATGAATAGATTTTTAACTGACGGGTTAAATTAGAAAACTGGGCATGGTGGTGTACACGTATAATCCCAGCATTTGGACTTGGGAGGCAGGAGATCAGAAGTTCAAGGCCATTCTCGACTACATAGCAAGTTTGAGGCCAGCCCCTGGGCTACCTGAAACACTGTTGAAAAAGAAAGGTACAATAGTATCCAGAATAACAAATTAAGATTTGATCTCTAGAACTGGAGAGGTAGCTCAGTGGTTAAGACCCTTGCTGCTCTTGCAGAGGGCCCTGGAGTTCCAGTCCCAGCACCCACACGGCAGATTCCAACTGTCTATAACCCCAGTGCCAGGGGATCTAGCAACCTCTTCTGGCCTCCATGGGCACCAGGAAGGCACTCCACTCTGTGTACTTACATATACACAGACAAAACATTCAGACACATAAAAATAAATAAAATGCTTTTAAAAGAAACTTTATATGTAGTTTACCATAAAAATAGTTTGAACAAAACCCTGTATTTTGTGATAACTGTTCATAATATTATTTCAAGAAAAATAAGCTTCTTTTTCAAAAAACACTAAGCAAGTATTTGGTGAGCAGCTTATGGGCACCATGTATTATATTATACAAATACCTACTGGAAAGATCAGAACAGACGTAGTTCATTCAGGATGACAGATTCAAATGCATTATTACAGATTAATATAAATCTAAGAATTCTTAGACCACAGTGATTCAAACAACCACATAACATACGAGAATCAGGTTGTTTCATGATCATAATTTCTTCTGTTGTGTACATGTCTGTCTGTGTATGTGTGTGCGCACACATGTATCTATGGGTGTTCATGAAACCATGAGGTCAATGTGTCTACAATTACTCTCTCCCTTGAACCCAGAATTTGCCAACTCGACTAGAAGACTGCCCATCAAGCCCCAGGAATCATCTTGTCTTTGCCTCCCCAGTGCTAGGATCACAGGGTGCACACGGCTCCATCGGGCTTCCTTACATGGGTTCTGGGGGATGGAACCCCAGCCCTCCTCACGTTTCAACAGTGAGCACTGTAACAATCGAGCTAGCTCCCCAACCCTCAAGTTAATCGTTTCTATTTCCAGATGGGCTCCAAAATCATGCTTTAGTAGGATGTGGATGACTTTTATAAAATACACTGTTAGCACAGGAGATCTTAAAGCCCTGCTTGTTGCTACATCCAATCGTTAACTTCTCAGAGCCTCCTGTGTTTACTACCTAGGGCCGGCTGGGAGCTGAAACCTGCCAGCATTCCAGTCTGTTTTCTCCTGACACCTCCACCCTCAGCCCCTGGCTCTGCAATGCTAAGGAAGAAATGTACTGTCTCACACCTCACCTTCCACGTGGTAAGACGATTGTACGTTCACCATCAGTATCAAGTCTTTCAAAACTATATTTACCACCACAATAAAGATAATTCTTTGTTTTTCTTGGTAATGTGTAGTAATTTACCTAAAGTTTTCAGTAATATAACTGAATAATCATAAGTCCAACTTTACCTATGGAGTAAAATTTCTGCTAAAATGGAGCTGTAAATAAAATTTTAAAACATGGATCCTAAACCAATTCTTTACACTATTTCTACATATGCAACTGGATTTAATGAGGCTGGAGCACAGCTGCTGCATGTCAGCAGTCGGGCACACATGCACCAGAACCATGACAGCCTCAAGTAGACTGTGCAGTCTGACTGGTCCCCACCAGCTGGTCCATCCTAAACGGTTCCCACTATACACATCAACACCACGAGGGACAGACTTAACCCGTTCTAATACAATCAAACAAGAGTCAGGAGGAGGGCACATAACCCATGCTAACTTCTCAAAAAGGTCTCTAAAGTTAAATGACTTGAAGACTATGTCATTAATAATGGGTGGAGAAAAAAGTCATTTTCCTGTCCCAGAAAACCTAGCTCCATATACAGTTCCCATACACAGATTTAGGGAGCGTCAGAGTGGTAGCCTGTGCTTTCTCCCGGCACTGGCCCAAGTCCCAGCTACTTCAGAGAGATTTTTTTTTTTAAAGTTCTGACACTCAGAAAATCTCCATCTCGCCTTTAACAGTCATTCAGAGTTCCAACTTCTCCACACCAGTTCCAACTTCTCCACGCTCCACTTTCCAAAACTTTCCCCTAATTAAGACTCTTTACCCAGCACTCAGGAGGCAGAGGCAGGCGGATCTCTGTGAGTTCGAGGCCAGCCTGGTCTCCCAAGTGAGTTCCAGGAAAGGCGCAATGCTACACAGAGAAACCCTGTCTTGAAAAAACTAAAAAGACTCTTTACCTATCCACCAACTGCATTTTCCTAGCACCTTTTTAAAAAGATTTATTTTACTTATGTGCATATGTCTATGTTGAGCATACACCATGTGCGTGAGGGTGCCCCTCAGAGGCTACCTGAAGTTACAGTGGTGAGCAGCCAGCATGAGTGCTGAGAACCGAACTCGGGTCCTCTGGATGAGCAACAAGCGGCTCTTAACGGAGCCATCTCTCCAGCCCTAACACCGTTCTTATCAAGAGAATCTACCTCTTAAAACACACTCTTTCATTCTGTGTGACACTGTAGTAGTATCTATCAAAAGTAGTTGCTAAAATAACACCCGTAACAGTCAAAAGGTAGGAGCTAGAGAGATGGCTCAGTGGTTAAGAGCACACACTACTCTTGTGGAGAACCCGAGTTCAGTTCCCAACACCCACACTGGGGGACTCAGAAATAGCCTAAGTCTAGTCCTCATGGATACAACACCCTCTTCTGGACTCCTCTGTCACTTGCACTAATGTGCACATTCTCTCTCTCTCTCTCTCTCACACACACACACAGAAATTTTAAAATAAAATAAATCTTAAATTGGGAGGGGTTGGTGCTGGAGAGATATCTTATTAATTAGTTCTCTTACAGAGAACCTAGGTTTGACTCCCAGCACCCACACAGCAGCTCACACTGTCTGTAACTCCTGTTCCAGAGGATCTGACACCCTCTTCTGGTCCTTATGGGAACTGCATGGCATACAACACAGCAACACAAACATACACAAAGTAAAACTAATGAATCTTTACAGGAAAATCAATAGGAAACAGGACCCACCAATGTCTTCAGACATGCCAGATGCAGCAGTAAGTGATTTCTCCCTCAACCCTCAAAGCATCTCCACGGAGCAGTTAAACCTGGTCCTTAATGACTCACTGCCTATCACCATCATCATGAGATACAGGGTACACCTGTTTACAGAACGTGATGACTTCTGGGAAAATTTTACAATTCTGTGACTCCTTCAACAGCAGCAATCCTAGACAGCATGCCTTGTCCCTACTTAATTCCTCTGTCAATCTTTTTAATTTAAAAAAGTTATTAGCTGGGCATGGTAGTACACACCTTTAATTCCAGCATTGGGAGGTAGAGACTGGAGGAACTTGTTCAGTTTAAGGCAAACCTTGTCTACAGTGTTCTAGGATAGCCAAGGCTATACAGTGAGACAGATCCTGCCTCAAAAACAACAAACAAGATATAAAAAAAAAATCAACAAAAATAAAAAGAAATGTCACTGGAGCTGGAGAGATAGCTTAGTAAAGTGTCTGCCACACAAGCATTAAGACTTGAGTTCAGACCGCCAGAACCAAAGCTGAGGACAGCAGCACACATCTCTAATTCCCAGATCGCCAGAACCAAAGCTGAGGACAGCAGCACACATCTCTAATTCCCAGATCGCCAGAACCAAAGCTGAGGACAGCAGCACACATCTCTAATTCCCAGACCGCCAGAACCAAAGCTGAGGACAGCAGCACACATCTGTAATTCCCAGCACCAGTGAGATGGGAAGAGACACGGGACTTCCGACTCGGAGGTCAGCTAGCTTGGCCTACGTGTGAGACCCCGTCTCAAACACAAAGATGGAAGACACCTGAGGACCAACACCTGACGCTGTCTCCTGATTTTCACACACAGCCTTTGAACGTTCGCGTGCACCTCCACGTGCACACACGCAAACAAACATAAAACCCCGTAAGATTGCTAGTGGAAGCACTAAATGAGCCCCGCAGAGAATGAGGAGTCTGTGCTGGGCGCCGAAGGCCCCCAACTGTGCCCACCTGGCTGTGGAGAGACTCGGTGTCATCCACGGGAGCACTGGCCTGTTTCTCAGCACTTCCCCTCTCAGTCTGCACTGTGGCATCTTGTTTCCCAGAGTTCTGCTCCACTGTACTGGTCCCCTGCTCACAGACACTCTTCACAGTCTGGGTTGCTGCTGAAACAGTTTCTGGGGCACACAGGGAATGGTCCATGGTCTGGATTCCTATGTTATTCTGGGTGGGCCTTTCCATCAAGACCTTACACGGTTTTTCCTGGTTAGCACTCAGCCCTTCTAGCAGGTCTGTTTCCATCACTTCTCCGTGAGGGCTGAACAACCCCTGTGTGGCTTTCTGCTGGGAAACAGAAGAAGCAGAGTCCTCAGAAGCAGCGGCATCCTTGACAGGCCCAGTGGGCCTCACAGGCTGCTCACTCTGCCTGAGCTCTGGAGTACCATCCGGTTTTTCCTTGTCGTCTTCTTGAACACTTGGAAAATGGAGCAAGTTTGCCCTGAAAATGAAACATAAAGACATCACGTATTATGGTTTGAATGCAGGTTATTCCTGAGTCAGTGTGGTGGCACACATCTATAATCCCAGCACCCAGGAAGCCGAGGAGCACAGAACAACCAGGGCTATAATCAATAGTCTCAAACATAAAACAGTAAAAAGAAAGTAATTCCCATTGTGGGAATCCACCAGCCTGGTCTACATCATGACTTCCAAGACAGCCAGGGATACATAAGAGACTCTGTCTCAAAGAAAAAGAAAAAGATCCGTTAGTCATGAAGTCTCATTTGGTTTTATGAATGGTTCTAACATTCTTTACTGACTCCCACCACTACGCGTGAGGTCTGCTCTCTTCTGAACAGTAATTTAGGAGAAATACAGCCTTCAAAGGAGGAAAGTTGTAGGTGAGAGTCTGGTCTTTCCGGGTCAAAGGCCACTAGGCGATCACAGCAGGTGTCCAGTGCTTCAGTGCGGAGCTCCCTGGGCAGAGCTCCTCCCAACCACGTCAGAGGACTGTAGAGGAGCGCCTGAGATCCGGCCCAGCTCGGCAGGAGCGCCTAAGATCCGGCCCGGCTCGGCAGGAGCGTCTCTCCATTTGGGAGCCCGTCTCTCCATTTGGGAGCCCGTGTGTCCTAATTAGGTTTCTACTGCGGTGACAAAGACCATGGCCGAAGCAACTTGGGGAGGGAAGGGTTAACTGGCCTACACGGTACAGTCCATCATCACAGGAAGCCAGGGCAGGAGATCACAGCAGAAACTGGAGACAGGAACCAAAGCCAGGACCAAAGAAGGAGCGCTGTTTATACGGGCTTGCTCCCCATGACTGGCCCAGCCTGGTGTCCTGTAGAA